TGCTTTGAGTCCCTTTGGTAGATCAGAGGTATCCATGCCCCACGTTAGGTTTGTCATTCGCGTGCAAACCGGGGAGGGTGTTAGTGTGTTTGGATAGAGACTGGTTAGATCTACCGGCAACAACAGAGGGCACNTAGCGTTGCTTCAGGTGTGTAATCAGCGTGACCGGTTCAATCTGTCCTGCCTTGGTCTTGTCTTGAAAGTGCGGCCGTTGGAATCCTCCGTGATAGCGACGGTTTTCTATATTTAGGGTGTTTGACGAGGGTTTTTGATCCGGTTGGCCAGGTTTTCCCTCGAGCCTGTTGTTGCTTTGAGTCCCTTTGGTAGATCAGAGGTATCCATGCCCCACGTTAGGTTTGTCATTCGCGTGCAAACCGGGGAGGGTGTTAGTGTGTTTGGATAGAGACTGGTTAGATCTACCGGCAACAACAGAGGGCACGCAGATGGGGCATATGTACACCTTGAAATGGTTGCATGTGCGGGGACCCCTCGAACTCTAAAGAGGGCTTCACTTCTCCCTACTCCCCTTGCGTGTCTAATACAGGAGACAAAACGTCTTCCCCTTCCAAGTAAAGGACATACACGAACATCCTCCAGTGGTGATACACGCGGGTGCGCGTAAAAGAGTGATGTGTGGCGTTTGGACATTGATTTTGTGATTTTGTTTCCCTGTCGCTTCTGTTCAGGATGATAGCGTGCTCTGCAGCAAAATATATTCTTCGTAGCTTTATCCCTTCAAGCGTTGTCATTGATATGTCGATGTTCCGTCTTGTGACCGTTCGCATTCTTCGTCTCAATGATGGTGTGGGGGGTTGATTCGGGATATTTCTATAACTCACCCTCCTGTTGGATGTTTTGTGAAGAGTCATATCTTCAATTCATGATCATAAATCATCAGCTAAATCTTACTGCAGCTTTTAGGATTTGAGCATTGATTTGAGTATAGAATCTGCATATATGGTATTCAGCGTGGGCTAGTATTAAGGAGTGTGGGTGCTAGCATAAATAGGGTACATCTTATCGTTGATAGGATGAGGGTCGGTTAGGAGGTATACCCTTCTGACCCCTACCCCCTTAGAATGGTCTACTCTGTGTACCCCCTGAGATGAAGTTGGATCCCCACTCCATCCCAGACTCTTGCTGATCGTCTCTCAGCAATAACAAGCAACTTTCCCATCTCAACGTGGTCGTGACAAGTGTGTCAACGACAGAACCTTCATCTATCTCTAGGAGCAAGCTACCACCCACGGCTACACCTCCTTTAAACAACGTCATGACCTATTCCCCCGTGTCCAAACAACGTTGCCCCGAAAACTCAGTATCAATCTTCGTCCCAGGGGTTGGTTAAGATCAAGGCGGCAGGTCCGAATAGCGGGGATACTCCCACAATACATGGTACGCGAACAGGTCGGGGTGGGTGTCTTTCCGAATTACACACCGCACGAAAAGGGCACCAGGAAGGAGAGAACCTTGAGCAAGCAATTGAAGGACACACGAAATTACAAGTGTTTCCTGACACAAGCAAGGTAAAGAGAATGAATGCTAGCGAAGCACATGACACAGGAGGAATCCGACAACACTGCACAAACGAATGCGATCTATATCATGCCGCTGACGCCACTATGAGACGGTTGTCTCCAGGTTCACGTGTGAGCAAGTTCCCTTTGGGATGTGTGGTGTGGATACACACCGGTTCAACCTCTGGTGGAGAGGCTGACGAGTACGGATAGTGTTGAGTTGAGTGAGTGTGTCAGGTGTTGTTCAGCATCCAACCTGCACTGACTCTATCTGTGGCAACACGCCGAAGGTAGATCTCCGACAGGTCATCTGACGTCACAATCTACGACAGTCTGAGGTGGCATTCACATCTACAACAATTCAAAAATACAAGGCATAGACTAAAACTCATGCAGACAAAAACCCGACCCCGTTCATAAACACCCCCCTTAGAAGAACAGGTTGTTTACTAGGTAAGGTACTTGAAAAATATGGTATTAAAAAGTGTAAGAAACTGTCGAGTTCAGCCGCCTGCACTGCACTAAATCTTATCGTGGCTAGTTGTACGAGCCTGTGCTCACTCGTTGAATGACGTTTAGGCTTCGAGTCTTGCTCAAGGTGGGTGTTTCTTACGAGAGGGCTGACACCTTACATACGAAGCACATCCGATCCCAAAAATACTATATATACAGGGGATCGTTGCATGTGCCTGCATAATAATTCTGCACTGCTACCATACCACCTCTCTCTCCCGCACCACGCTCGCGAGATGAGAACGACAGAAAAGAGTGCTCTACAAGAGACACGGACAATGCAAATATCAAAGGCCATGAAAAATGGTCATCATACTGATGATGATACCGTCGGAACGGCACCATTACCCACTCACTCACACCCACCGCCCAGCCGACAAAGAAAAAGAACACCCCAACTTTCTCGCCCAGTAGGCGAAAGAGCACAATGACAAAAAAACGAGTAAAGTTTGTTCCCGGCACGGCAACAGCAGCAGCATGATTCGATGCACCATGCGCCACACGTCAACCAACAACACCCCAACAGCAACAGCATTAAACCGCAACAGAATCATACACGCCATCACCTCGTCGGCATTGAGAGGGCGGTCGCTGAAAGAGACAGGTGACCCAAGGGGACACATTGGACGGTGTATCCACGCCGAGCACAAAAACCGTGCACGACAACGACGACGAAAAACCCTACGGCAAAACAAATTGATTGGCCAAAACGAAGAACGAAACGCGCACTCGGACGGGACGGTGATACACTGCAGGCAGCACAAATGTTCGCCTGTCGGCATGATACATGTATGGAAGAACTCTATCGTGCGGAATATGCCGTGCTACTAGGAAGGGATCGCGTTATTTCCCCCCCCCCCGCTTCGAAGTGTGTGCTTATGTTGTTGTCCCTATCCCCCTCCCCTGCCCCCTAACGCAAATCTTCCCTCCACCACTCCCGAACAACGTCTGGGTGAACAATCAAGGGGGTGTTCGGGTGATGGAGCGATATCACGACACGCACACGCCCTAGCGGAACCCAAACTTGACCCACTTAATAATACCTACCCCGGAGTTATAGAACAGCTTGAGGCGCTGTGCGCCGAAAACACATGCCGACAAAAAGAACTGAAATGTAGCAACAACATCGGCGCCAGGAGCCCGATGGGGAATTGACAAGGTTTGATCAAACGTCCATCACGGCGGGGGCTTGGTAGACTGAGACCTTCACCGTGACTGCTGTACCCTAGGAACATGGCGCCACGATTCCAGAGCCGGCCACCACGTCTTTGCTGTTGAGTGGATTAGCGTGCGAAGACAATGATCATCACGCACGACAGCAACGGCGACACCACCAACACTTTTTTCGATTGCAGCAAAACTTGCGCACCCACTCACCGCCGGCGCACCAGCTCGAGAGGTTTGACCACACAACGTTCAGTGAGCTAATTCCCCGGCCACGGCCACCCAATCACTAGAATGAAGCAAATGTTCAAGCCACTCGATGTCGTCACCCCCCCCCCACACACAACAC